AGCTAGTAGGACTGACCACACACATTGAGGACCAACTTTGTTTTATTTTGTTTTTTAATAAATTTTATTTTATCCCATTCCCTTCCTTAATCCCCCCCTTCCCTATGTACAAAAGCTTTGTTTCCATTATTTCCTCTCTTTTTTCTTGTCCCTTCCTCCCTTTCTTCCTCTCTCCTCCATTGTTCCCCTTCCAATTTGAACATTTTCTTCCTATTTTCCATTATCTGTTACATATTTTAGTCCTCATTTCCACTTTTGGTTTCTCACACCAGAGAAACAATGCAATACTGAAACGTGTCCAACTTACTTCACTTAGGAGTATGTTCTCAGGGTCCATCCATTGATATATAAATGCCTGAAGCTCTTCCTTCTTTATGGCAGAGTAGTACTCCATTGTATTAAAAACCACATCATCTCTATCCGTTCATTGGCTGATGGGCATTTGGGCTGTTTCCAAGATTTAGCTACTACACAGTATTGCTATAAATATGGGTGTGCATATATTGCTGTAGCATGATGCTTTTAGTTCTTTTGGGAAGGTACCAAAAAGAGGAGTAGCTGGGTCAAGTGAAAACTGTGGTTTCAGTTTTTTAAGAAATCGCCAACCTGATGTCCACAGTGGTTGGCCCAGTCTACATTCCCGACAGTGGAGAAGGGTTCCTTTTTCCCCCACAGCCCTCCAGCATTTGTTATTGGTTGATTTCTTGATAGTAGCCATTGTTTCTGGAGTGAAATGGAATCTTAGCATTATTTTAATTTGCATTTCACAAATGACCAGTGATGTTGAACATTTTTTCCTAAGTTCATTTGCTGTTTCTAATTCTTCATCAGAGAAGTGTCTTTTCATTTCAGATGCCCATTTTTGGGTCTTTAAATTTGGGGTCTGATTTGGGTTTTTGTTTTTTTTTTTATAGAGTCCGATAGTACTCCTTTGTCTGAAGAATACTTCTGTTTTAATATTTAGATCTTTGATCCATTTTGATTTTAGTTAAGTGCACAGTGAAAGATATGGGTCTTCAATCTTTAGCATGTGGAAAGCCAGTTTTTCCAGCACCATTTGTTAAAGGGGCTATCTTTCCTCTGGGGAAGGTGTTTGATTCCTTTGTCAAAGAAAAGGTGGCTGAGCGTGTCTGGAGTTGTTTCTGCATCCTCTGGTCTGTTCCATTAATCCTTGGGTTTGTTTTTATGCCAATACCATGCTGTTTTTACCACTGTAGCTTTGTAGTACAACTTAAAGTCAGGGATTGTGATGCCCCTGCCTTGCCTTTGTTGCCCAGAACTACCTTTGCTATTCTAGGTCTCTTCTGGTTCCAAATTATTTTTTCTAATCCTGTGAGAGAGGAGGATTGACTTTGAATAAGGAGTTATCTCCTTTTTGGCAGTGTCATTGAGGTTGCGAGCAGAGCTGAGTGAGAGGGTAGTCCAGGAAGATAACTTTTGGAAATCTGTTTCTTCGGCAGCACTCTCTGTAAGATCTGTTGAGAATAGTGAGAGTTGGTTGGCAGCAATGGTACATAATTCAAGCCATGTGAAGTAGGCAGATTCTTAGAAAAGAGGAGTAGGCAAGCTAGGGCTTTCCTGGAGCTGTTGATGGCCTTGGTGAAGTGGAAAATCTTGATGTCTTTATAGCACAACTGTTCACAGGCCTCTGAGGTCCCCAGGATCTTTAAAGGGTGTCTGTGAGTTAAAACTATTGTAACAATACTACTGGAGCATCTTTATACTGTTCTGTATGTTGCCATCTGCACGTATACAGAAGCAGTGAGGAGCAACGCTGTGACACCCTGACCCAGGACAGAGCCATAGCACCATACTGCCACTTCTTCAAAGCTTAAAACACCAATCTAGTTGCACAGAAGGATGTCCTTGATGAAGCAGTAAAGATTATTTGCTTCATTAAATCCCATCCTCAATACCTGTTTTCATGACGTTTTATGTGGTAAAATGGGATGTACACTTAGAGCATTTCTCTGCCTGTGGAATGAGGTGGTTTTTCTCAAAGAAGGTGCTTGTGTATTTGAGCTTTGCGCTGATTAAGCTGCTTTTAAAAATCAGTCCTCAGTAATGTTTAAGAGTTAGAGAAGGGTTCTGAAATCAGAAAATTAAAAGAGTACTGTTCCCATGCCGCAGTTTGTACAGTTAGTTCATCTTCTCTGGTGCTGCCCAGAAACTCAAGTTGAAGATGGAAGTGAAGGTTGCAGCATTGTTCAGGAACAGAGTTATGCTCAGTAGGCATGATGGACCAGAAGAGGTGCTGTGGTAAATAATTGCGCAGGGTCTGTGGTAGGGCAGGAAGGAAAAAGGTCTTATAGATGGGAGAGAAGAACGGCCAAGTTGTCCTGTGTCCTTTAATGTTAAGAAAAAGTATGGGTGCTGAAAGGGCCCATGGACCATGACCAGATTAATTCCAGCCTCAAAGGGACTTCTAGGGAAATAAACTGTATCCACGTAAGTACACAGGCAGCCATGATGCATGCTATCCAAGTGGTACAGCAGATCTTGGTGTGGTGTGGGAGGAGGGGCCTGGGCATGCTAACTGTGGTATCAGCACCTGCCAGCTACTTCCCATTTTTCACTTTTGATAGCTATGAATAATGCAGAAATAGCACTTGCAATAAAAGAAGGCTGAGATCCAGTTATTTTTCAAGTGGGGGCTATTTTCCTTTGAAATTTTTGAGTGTAGATTTAAGAGTCTAGAATAACTGGAAGGAGCTAACATTTTTTTCAGAAATGCGTATACTGAACAATATTTAGTTGGCTTGAAGTACTTCCTTAATATAAGTGTGAGTGGGGGAGAAGTGTCCCCACAATGGCTTAGAAGTAATGCTGTTAGAATCTGTGGTCACATCTTCCTGGGCTTTTCATTGCACAGACAGTGTCTGACTGGGCAAAAGTCCAAGTGATTTAATTGCTTCTCAAAAAAAAAATCATTAGGAAGATATCTGTAAGTTCTTTGTGGTGAGCTAATTAGGACCAGGAAGATCAGTCTTATTACCTGTTCTAGACCATTTAAAGCTGAGCTTACATTTTAAGCTATTGTCTACATACTTAGCAATGTATTTGGGGAAACTAGAGTTTGAGCCAGAGGGGTCTGAATTCTTGACCATTGTGTGTTACCTGGTCCTGACTACCAAAAGGATTGCCTCCTAAACCTCACCAGCTTATATACCCTGTGTCTCAGCTCTAGGCATGAACCCCTCTGCTGACTACACTCTGCTTCCATCGAGGCCAAACCTGATGGGAGAACTTTCTGTGCTCCAAAAAGTTCTTTAGCACTTTATAAATGACACAAAGCAAAGTGTCATTTATTCCATAATTTCTAAGACATAGTCAGGATTGTGTATTGAAAAGATAGATGGAAGCACAATTTTTTTTAAACATAATACAGACTTAAAAGAAAAAAAAACAGCAGGGCCGCGGATTTAGCTCAGTGGTTCCACTGCCCGCCTCAGAAACGCAAGGACCCGAGATAGATCTCTGGTTCAAAAAAAAACAACAAAAAACCACTGTATACATACTGGGTATGAAAATGTGCTGTTATCTGGAATTTCTCATACCCAACATGTAGCTTGCTGCATTTATTATTTCCTCTTGTCTTAAAGATCAGGGGTTGGTCTCTTGGTGTCATGCAATAAAGGATGTCAAAAAAATGGCCACCAGAACTAAGAATACACACATGCACACAACAAGCATAAACACATGCATGTGCGCACCCTTCTCTAACCTCAAGCAGCAAGCTACCTGCCCCCTAGCACAAAAACAGTCACTTTGGAAGGTTTACTGGTCTGCTCTAAAGGGTTGAACATTTTTAAATAACTAAAACTTTCTTCTTGGGCCAGGAATTTAGCTTAGTGGCACTGAGCCTGCCTCACAAGCGCAAGGTTCTGAGTTCAATCCCCAATACTAAACAAAAAACAAAAAACTTTCATCTTAAAAGTAAGCTAGAACTGAGTCTTCAAGTTGATCATTAATGTTAAATTATGCCCAGTACATTTGATTATTACAGCATATTATTTTTTACATTCTTATAGGATTTAATAGCATGTGCTAATTTGTAGATGGATGAGGTTTTTGTCATCTGCAAATAACTTACCTACTAAAATAATCACGTTAGGCTGAGTGTGGTGGCACACCCCTGTAATCGCAGCACTTGGGAGGCTGAGTTAGGAGAATCACTGAGAGCTTGAGGTTAGCTGGGCTACATAGCAAGAGCCTGTCTAAAAATAAAAATAATCATTTTAAGAAAATAGGCCTCTCCTGGAGTTGTCATTTAGCAGTACAGTGCTTACCTAGTATGTATGAGTTCTTGGGTTCAATCCCCCGTACCACCAAAAACAATAAGAGGCTTCATTAAGTAGATCCCCATATATTCTTTAAAAATTTGTGTTCTTTACTGGCTATTAGCTTTTCAGATTTGCAGCAAATTTTTAGATCTAAGCCTTAGATTTTTCAGGCGTGCCTTAGAGTCTGTGAGCTAGGGTTGGAGTAGCACCTTTTTTCTATTCCTTAAGACTCCTGATAGGATTTCATTTGAAGAAAGGACCTACTACTCAAGTTGAAAACACTGGTCTGAGTATAAATAAGTGGAAACAATGTTTTGGTTTGTACTGTACTAAAGATTGAACCTAGGACTTTTGCACTGGGCTACATCGCTATCCCTTTTTGTATTTTTGAGACAAGGCTTTGCTAAGTTCCCCAGCTGGGGCTTGAACTTGGAATCCTTCTGTCTCTGCCTCAGTGTTTTAAAGAACTCTCTGTAGCTACCTCTTCTGCAGAACAATAATGTTCTGCCTTTCTGAGCATTGCGATCTACATCTGTCAGGTGGTCAGCCTCTGTGTTCACGCAGGCAAGAGAGACGTATAATAGGTGCTCTCTCTGCCGGCTGCTCACCTTACAGCAATGCTTTGCTCTTGTTTTGTGGGTTGTTAAACAGGAAATGTAAAATCTTTTGGTGACTACTGCCTTTGCTTCTTACCACTGAAAATGTTTGTCTTTGTAGCTCTGGACTTACTGGACAAAATGTTGACATTCAACCCTCACAAGAGGATTGAAGTTGAACAAGCTCTAGCCCATCCATATCTGGAGCAGTATTATGACCCGAGTGATGAGGTAAGAGCTCCTGCTGTTGGCTGCTTCCACAAGCATATAAACCAGCCAACAACAGGCCTAACCATGTCCTGTGCAGATTTTCCTGAGAGGTGCATGGTAACATATCTGCTCCTCCAAATACATCTACCTCCTGTGCCTTGAAGATGAGCATTGTGGGTACAGCTTGAAACCCCTGACCCCCAGGATCCCTGCAGCAGGTGGAGACCAGGAGAAGGCATAAAGAGGAACAGCTGTACCAATGTGGAGCCTGGAGAGGGCTAAGGACTCTTCCTCTTCCCTCCTCACATGTTAGAGATAGAACCAATGGCCTTGTGCATCTGGGCAAGTGCTCTGTGACTGAGCTGCATCCCCAGCCTATGTATTGTTTATGAGAAAGGTGCTTTCAGGAGTTGGGCATAAGTGCACGGATGCTTATCAGCACTCTGAGATGGGGGCCGGTGCTGGGGTCAAACCTGGGACTTCATGTATGCTACTGAGCATACACTCTTAGCACTGAGCTACGCCCCTGGGCCTGGAGTACGTAGGTTTTAGGAGACATCTGTCCTGTTGTATAAATTTCAGAGTGTAAGTCAGAGTCATTTTGTAAATCAGTAAATTACTGCCTTTACCATAACAACTTTTGACTATTAAATGTTTTATTTTCTCTTCAAGCCCATTGCTGAAGCACCATTCAAGTTTGACATGGAATTGGATGATTTGCCTAAGGAAAAGCTCAAAGAACTCATTTTTGAAGAGACTGCTAGATTCCAGCCAGGATACAGATCTTAAATTTGTCAGGTACCTGGAGCTTTAACCATACAATTAATTTAAATGTCATGAGAAAAAAGAATTCAGTGTATTCCTCTGTTTGAATATAGCTTTTTTTTTTTTTTTTAGAGTAGGAAAAATTTATTGAGAGAAAGAAAGCTTCTAAGAGAGGCAGAAGGGGGACTGAAAAGTGGGCTGCCCCTGAATATAGCCTTTATACTGATTGCTTCCTTCATGATTTAAAACTGGAGAAATTACACTTTGTCTTTCACCACTGTTTAAAACATACACTTGGAATCCTTTAATTTCTGACAGTTTATTCAACTCTATGGATTACAAGGACATTAAATTGTCAGGATTTAGAATAAGATCTGCAGCAAGACTTAGTGTTTAGGGAGGAGGAACTTTCTAAAGCTGATTGTGTGTGTGTGTGTGTGTGTGTGTGTGTGTGTGTGAAAATAGATTTATAGAAAGGAATAAAACAGGTCTTCATTCTAAAAATCTTTTCACTTAAGACATTTTTAATGTTAAGACATTCTAATGTATAATTTTGGAGACCCTCAAATTCTCTTTTACCCGACACCCAGTGCTGAGGCTTTAGAATGCTAGCCAAGCACTTTGTTGCTGAGCTACACTCCCAGTCCCCTAAGATTTTTCTCTTAAGAATTGAGAACACAGAACTTAGAAAAAGAAAAAATAGCCAAAGAAGGAAGATGCCTAAGTGTCTCAAGAAGACATGGGTTTCCACACTTCACTTCTTTTTAAGGAAATTCATAGTATGAAGTGGGTATGTATAGGGATAACGCTTACACTTGCTAGGAAATAGGGACATCAGGGTTTGCTGCTTTCCAAGAAGAGGAGCTGGCTTTCTGTTGAGAAGGACAGCTGTGTCCTCAGAGTGGCATACTGATCTCTGACCACATCCCGTCATCAGAGTTCCCAGGGTTATTACTCCCACCACTAAGAACAAGGAATCGGGGACAGATAGATGCAGCTCAAGAATAGACATGGCCAAGGGCCAGGGATTTAGCTCAGTGGCGCTGTGCCTGCCTGGCAAGTGCAAGGTCCTGAGTTTGATTCCCGGTACCAGAAAAAACAAACAAAAAGAATAGATGTGGCCATCACATCCTCAGAGCAGAGAGCCCTGCAGCAGGGGAAACTGGGAGTTGGGACAGAATAGACACAACTAATTTAGGGGAAAGAAATGGTTGCTTTCAGAAGAAATTTGACATCAGAGCAGATGGGGTTAGAATGAGGAAGTCTGGGTTGGAGGTCATTGGAAAGCAGTGTTTTTCTACAACAAAAGGACCAGAGCTATGGACTGTGGCTATGGTGAAGAGAAGCTTGGATTCAAGAGAATGGAGGAAAAACAAAGGTGGAAAGACTTCCAAATTTCTAAATCTAGCAACTGGGGCAAGGGTGGGGTGGGGTGAGGCTGGCGCTGTTGACACCGCACACACCCTCAAAGACAAACTCAAAAAGTGAAGCACCAAGGCAGCAATGCTTATGGGACATGAGTAAGACATAAGCCAGCCCAGGGGGAAGAGCCAGATGTGAACAAGCCACTGAGGAAGAGAGGAGCAGTCTGACCGGGTAGGTTCATTCATCCTATCAACCATGTAACTGTAACAGTCTCTTGCATTTGCCACATAAAGTGCCTTTTCATGGTCACTCACTGAAGTAAAGTCAGTCCACGTGGAGCTTCTGGGAGATGCTGTAGTGTAGCTTGTCTCTCTCCCAGTAGCCCCTCTTTCTTGTCATGGGGTGGTGGGTCAGGATGGTATCTTGAGCTTTTTAGGAAATGTGGGTGTCAGAGTTCACTGTTTTCCAGGAAAAGGAGTCAGTTTCCAGTCTCCTGTTGAGAGGAGGGATGTGTGATGGGACTGCAAGCCTGTTTACCAGGTCGGGTTGACTGGACCTGATTAGCTTGCTGCCTGCTGTTATAGGTTGTGTGTCCTCCCAGATTGCCTGTGGCTCCTTTTTCTCTGTGATAGCAGATGAGTAGTCATGGCAGAGACTCAAATGGCCTGCAAGGCTGAAGACATGTATTCTCTGACACTTTAAAGATCAAGTTTGGGGCTGGGGATTTAGCTCAGTGGTTCCGCTGCTTGCCTTGCAAGCACAAGGTCCCAAGTTCAATCCCGGTACAAAAAAAAAAAAAAAAAACAAGTTTGCCACCGCCTAGCCAAAAGGTTGAGCTGGTCAGTAGTCCAATTTGCCCTTGTCTTCCTTGTCTTAGTTCAAACATGTGGATTGCTTAGTATGGACTAGAAAATACATCAGACAGATACACAAGAACTAACAGGTCAGGCAGGCTTATACATGGCCTCCAAAAAGCACCCAATCTAGCAGAGGAAAAGTCGTACAAGCAGAGGACCTCTGGCCGTGTAGTATGGAAGGGCATCTGGGGTTAACATGAGAATCAGTTTTTCCCATAATTCATTTAGTTACTATTGAGTGCTTCCTGGTGCCCGGTAGGAGGGAGACAAAGATGAGTAAGACCTAGGCTTTGTTGTCTAGCAGCTTAATAGTAGGAAACAACAGGGAATATGCATAGTATTGGAGCTTGTAGCAGAGGTGGATGTAGGTACAGCAGACCCCAAAGGGTAAGGCTGAGGATCACAGAGCAAGGCAGTTGTGCTGAGCTGATCTGAGGGTCAAGGAGCTCTTTGCTGTGATGATGAACCATAAGTCAGCATGTAAGCACTGGCCACAACCAAGTAAGAGGAGGAGGCCACAGTGAGGACTGAGCTGGAGCATAGCCCTCACCTCACTAAGGAGCGCAGCTCCCTTACAGGTAGCTGCGTGCCCTGAAGTGTTGGCTTGGGTGACTGAGGCAGTGAGACTGTAGGAGAACGCCAGTGAGCAAGAACCCATGGGAGGTCTGGCCAGGTCACTGGAGAGAAAGGCAGCTCAGCACTATAGCGGGGAGCCAGACAGAAGCCAGGGTGCCCCTGGGGCTGCACAAGCAGGATGACTAATTATCTCTGGATATCCACATTACACTCATTGACTGAGATTTCCATTGGGATGCACCCAACTGTGAGAACCCAGGTGTGAGAAGGAAGTCGCTTTTGTGTGCTGCTCATTTTTTCCTGGTGTTCGTAAAGAACAGAAGTTTAGGGGCCAGGGATTTAGCTCAGTGGCTCCGCCCACGCCTGCCTGGAAAGCACAAGGTCCTGAGTTTGATTCCCAGTACAAAAAACAAACAAAAAGGCTACATGTTTAGTACATAACTAAAGTGTGGCTTTTTCCCCCAATGTTGTTTAATGGCGGTTTTCAACTGTTCTGAAAAGTTGAAAGAATTTTAAAGAAAACACCTATATTCTCACCACCTAGATTCTATAATTAACATTTTACTATATTTATTTTCTCATCTTTCTGCCTGTCTGTTCCTCCATACACCCATCAACCCATCTGTTTTTTTTGTTTTGTTTTTGGTTTTTTTGGTGTTTTGTTTTGTTTTGTTGTTTGTTTTTGGTACCAGGGATTGAACTCAGGACCTTGCATTTTCGAGGCAGGCAGTGGAACCACTGAGCTAAATCCTCAGCCCAAAAGACCCCCCCCCTCCTTTTTTTTTTTATTTTTTATTTTTTATTTTTTTGGTACTGGGGATTGAACATGGGTCCTTGCACTTGTGAGGCAGGCAGTGGAACCACTGAGCTAAATCCCCGGCCCCCCATCTCATTTTTTTGGTGCATTTTATCTAGCCCGATTTAGAATTGAGTCATCTAGAATATAAAAACGAATTTAGTGGAAGGTGGACCTGGGAGCATTTATTAACCTACAGGCCAGGCCAGGTTGAACGAACATTTCATTTTGGTGATCACAAAAACATTCTCTGAAGTTATGTTCACATATCATGGTGTATCTAAGCATTTTGCTGAGGTCATACATCAGTTCAAGACTAGGCAGAAGTCCCGGGCACTTTAGACCAGAATGCCATTTTCTTGTGATCCCTTCACACTTCCTCCAACTAGCCTTGCTCTCTCAGAAACATCTCAGAACTTGTATGGAACCCTAAAGATCGTTGTTGCTAAGTTGCCAGTCTTCAAACCCGAGATCAGAAGTTGCGCATTGTGCCACACAGATATTAGAGAAAGGTGATTATCAAACACTTAGCTGCAGTAGGAAAGGCCCAGAAAGCATAATGGGGACTGACTCTTGGTATGGGAAGCTCTGGAGGGACCTCTGCTTGTTGGGGGCCATGTGTTAGTGATGTCCCTCGTGGTGGCTTAGGCGTTCTTAAAGGATCACAGTATTTCATTGTATTTTGCTTGTGGAAATAATTGCAATGAGCCAAAGATAAAAGTGACAGGCCTCATCCTCACTCAGCACTGCCTCACTAGTCCCCAAACCAGGAGCTGTGCAGGTGGAAGTAGGTGCTCATCTTTCTTCCTTATCTGCCCATTTGTGAATTTTCTTAAGCAGATTAATCACTAGGGTCATTAACCTTGTCTCCCTTGGTTTCCCAGAAGACAGAAGCATTTTAGGGCCGTTTTTAAATTTCTGCCAGCCAGGGGGTTCGAGTAGCAACTCATGATATGTACCTCTAAGTGGCAGGGGCTACTTCTGCCTTCGCCTCTCTTCCTAATCCATAGTTGGACGATGACCTTCCCTTCCTGTCCTAACTCAAGTCACAGTTGAAAGTCATAGCCCTGTGACCACTTTGTGAAATATTAACATGATAGGTTTTTAGCCATAACAGTAAGGATCTCCAAAAAGAAGGGTCTGTTTTGTTGGCATTTTGATACTTGGTCCCTACACCACCTGTCTGATCAGGGTTCCTCATCAGAACCACATTATCCCTGAGAAGTGACAACACTGTTTGATAGTACAAAACAGACACATAATGAAGCTACCCTGTTAAATTCAGTGGATCGTTTGGGGCAGGGGGTGCCCAACTGTAGTACATTTATAACAACCTCCTGCAACCTGAGGTTTAATGGGCCCTCAAGATGCTTATGGTTGAGATCCATTAGCCTATTGTTAGAGGAGATTTAGTTGAGTAAAAATAAACATTACTGTTGGGCACAGTAGCACACACCTCAACACCTCAGGAGGCTGAGGCAGGAGAATGGAAAGTTCAAGGCTAGCCTGGGCATCTTAGTGAAACCCTGGTAGAATACTGTTGGCTTCAGTCTCTAGTACTGGGGGAAAAAAACTGTTAGAGCAAAGGGGAATTGTGCTGTTTGTGCTTTCCTGGGTCAGTACTGCTGGTGGGCCTCTTGTAGGTGCCTATACACACCCCTGGAGAACCAAGTGGGCCTTCTCCAAGAATAAGTAGGCCACACATGAAGGCTGCTAGGAAGGTAGCTCGTTGTCAGGTCCCCTCTGACTTGGGTGATCTTGTACTGCTCACCCTTGGGGTCCAGATGTAGTGCTCCTTGCCTCCCCGGATTCCGAGCCTCCCACCTGTGGTTTTGCTCTCAGTTAGAGAAAGCCTGAGCACTATTAACAGCCCACATTCCAGTGCCTGTGCAGTTACCTTTGTTCTGAGTGTCATCCAGACAGAGAGACTTGCTAAGAATAGGAGACAGATTTTTCTCCCTTAACCCCTAATTCTGCTGTTGGAAGGATGGATACTCTGTGGCTAATTAAGGGCACTTTAGACACGCAGGTGCCAACCTGAGCTGTGAATGTGAGTGTGCACGCGTGCATCTTCTGTGTTAGTGTTATGAAAACAGCCTCTTGACAGCTGTTTGAGGAAGGCGCCTGTCAGGTGAGGGCAGAGCCCCAGCGCCGTCACAACCGATGTTACACACGCCTGGGTGTATGTAAGTAAAGTGAGCTTTTGTCAAGAGTATTTCTCCCCTTTCCGTGAGGACTTTTCTGTTCCGTGATGCTGATGATAGCCTTTTAATGTGGTTCATTCTGTTCACTTGTCCTTTTTGTAGGCTGCTGCTGCTGTTGTAACCTGGCCCAGTACTAACCCTAGATTATTTGTGTTCTTACAGGACATGGGCTCCAGGACTGGACGCGCTCAGACACCGATGTTCTTCTCCCAGTTCTTGACCCCTGCTCCTGTCTCCAGCCTGTGGCGGCTCATCCACTTTGACTCCTTTGAGCCGTTCAGAGGGGCGGTTTCTGGTTGTTGTGGCTTTTATGCTTTCAAAGAATTCCTTCAGTCCAGAGAATTTCTCCTGGCGCTCCTGTGTGTCACCCACTGGTGACGTGCGGCAGTATGTACTTTCAGTGCACCTACTGCTTACTGTTGCTTCAGTCACTTACCACTTTCTGGTTTGAAAGATGCAGTGGTTCTTCCCTCTCCTGAATCCTCTCTATGTGACACCCTGCTGACCAGGCAGCCTCCGCAGAGTAAGTCTTTCAGACTGGCTGCCGTCACTGACATCTTACTTACGATAGGAAAGTCCTACCTAGGGCACTTTAAGTCAGTGATGGTCCCGAATTTGCACTTCCCCTGTTGTCTGTAATTGCCTCCCCAGAGCAGGATCTTGTGGAGATACTTTGGATGGTGTTGCAGCCTGCAGCAAGTGCTTCCGCCTTGGGAACCTTCGGAAGCTCTCCGTCTTCTCATATCGTGCTAGTCACTAACATATTTAAGACATATGTATTGTTTGCCCAGATTTTAGAAAAGTTATTCATTCTTCTAAACAAAAACAAAGTACTGCATTCAGCAATGTCTTTCTGCAGATTTACTGTGGGTTACTTTTATCATCTATAAAAGTATAACTTTTGCCAAAATGCATTACATGCAGTACTCAGTGTTTGCAAGACCTGCACAAAAAGATATAAAGTAGCAGTTGTGCTCAGCATTTGGTGACGCACTCACCAAGATTAAAGCACTGAGCTGGGGAAAGTTTCTGGAGCAGTAGTCGGCACGCTGACCCAGATGTCCCAGGTGGAGCGCCACCCCCTGGTACAGATAGGCCCCAAGCTGCTTCACACAGTGTCTGATTTAGTAACCACGTTCAATGCCTGAGAATTTAGCAGAGAGGAACACTGCGTCTTTAAATGAGAAAGTGTGCAATCCTTTTTCCTTCTACAGCATGTCAGCATCTCAAGTTCATTTTCAACCTACGGTATAACAATTTATAATAAAGCCTTCATGAGCTCATGACATGAAGCACTGTTCTGTCATCAAGTACTCAAGTATTTCTGAACTGCTGAGTTAAGAACATCAGAAAAAGCTAGTACTAAGTCATGTTCAGAGCTCGCTCATATTTTCCTGATCTCTTTAAGTATTTGTTCCTGCCACTGTGTACTGTGGAGTTGACTCGGTGTTCTGTCCCAGTGCGGTGCCTCCTGACTCCCCCACTGCTCTCTCTGGTGAGAAATTTGCCTTGTTCAATAATTACTGTACCCTCGCATGACTGTTAACAGCTTTCTGTGCAGAGATGACTGTCCAAGTGCCACATGCCTATGATTGAAACGAAAAATCTATTGTTACCTCTGAGTTGTGTTCCACAGAAAATGCTATCCAGCAGATCATTTAGGAAAAAACAATTCTATTTTTAGCTTTTCATTTCTCATCTGTCCTTTTTCTTGTTTGTTTTTTGACAGCAATGGAGAATGGGTTATATAAAGATTGCCTGCTAATATGAACAGCACTGCACTTGTAATTCATGGAAATAAATGTACATCTTTATCTTCACATTCCTGTTAAGATTCAGTGTTGATTTCCTCTTGACCAGTGTGTCTGAGTGGACAGTCAGATTCAGTTTGTACTTCAGCCAGAAAATGCTAATGGGCCTCCATTTCACATCCCAGAACTGCCCCCACTTCAGTTTACGTGAGATGGCTTATAAAGAGGTTCTTTTCCCCTCTGCTGCGTAGTGGGTAATCCTGGCATGTTTCTTTGTTCACATTAGTCTGTCAGACCCCGATGGCGAAGCCCAAACATCTCAGGTTGGAATCTCTGGTTCCCTCTAAGAGGACCTGGCTCTGGGCACAGCTGAGTGCTGGGGAGGACTGCCTGGCATCGCATGGCACACGCCACCCGGCCCAGGGTGCTGACACTCACACCTCACGTGGCTAAAGAAGGGTGCCGACTCATCCTCGGAAATCAGAATTGTATCTTGATTCCCACCCTAAAATACATGCTTATCACTTCCACACTCAGAGCCCCCATGTGAAAGTCCACCCAGCATTGACAGGATACGGAGATTTGACTGTTATTTGATACATCGGCTAATAAGTGTTTTCGTTTAAAAAAAGAGCATTGACAGTTTTATTACTCTTATTTCTTTGTACTTTTTAAATGGAATGTTAATACTACTATGAGGTTAATTTGCAATCCTCTTCTAAATAGAAAACTATAGCTACTAATATCCAGGGACTTCGAGCTCCTTACCCTTCCCCTTGCTGGCACTGTGGAGTCAGATTGGCATGAAAGCACTCACTGCATTCTGGAATCATTCTAGCCACACGCTGTGTCATTAATACCATGCCAAATGTCATTTAACAGGTCAGAAGTTGTCATGACCAAGGTACCTAGGAGAACTGCTGGTTAATATGTGTAATAGACTCACCTTACATCTTGGCTCTTCTCACATTTCTAAAGATGTACAGATTAGGCCATCTCAGTGCATGTCGGTGATACCAGTATGCTCTGATAAGTCTTCAGACAGATGGCTTCTTTTGGTGTCTAAAGTGTAAGCAAAAAATTCCTGTTGAAACATTCTGGTCCTTTCATTGGTATGAAACACGCCCAACAAGCCAGTGGCGTAGATGCGGCAGACACATTGTCAGGACTCTGCCCTGTTGCAGTCTCCAGAGCTGCCGGAGACACAGACTTCTGTGATGTCTGGGCAGAACGTCACATTCCGTGTGCAGTGCACTGTGTTCACATTCATTTCACACCTACTCGTTCCTGCTGCTCTTGGGCGCAGGGAACGGGTGTGGAGGTAGCCACCGGTTTGGGAAGCTACATGTAGCTTACCAGTGGTTGTCCCTGAGGAGTCAAAACCGGTCCGCCCACACCGCATGCCACATAATATTCAGATCATTCAGAGGAGACTGTTTTATCTTCATTTGCTTATGTGTTAATACAGTTTTTAAATTAGTGACTTTTATATAGTATGGTAACAGTATGTCAGTATACTCATACATGCGCATTCATGCTTTGGGTCCTTCCGTAATACTTTTATATTTGTAAATCAATGTTTTGGAGCAATCCCAAATTTAAGGGAGATATTTTTGTAAATGTGGTTTTGAAAATCTGAGCAATCCTTTTGCTTGTACATTTTTAAAGCACTTGCGCTTTAAAATTGTTGTGCTGGTGTTCTGAAACATGATATTCCTGTAGCACAGGTGAGCAGCATGTAAAAGTGGAGTAATGATGTGGCTTCTCTCATTGTCATCCAGCCCAACAGGATGGAACAGCAGCAACCAACTGGGAATTCATAGCGAAGTTCTAGGGCTGCACCAGTCCGCCTAACGCTTGTTGCCTTTCTTGTGCCGTTTATCCGTGTAGAGCACTCCAGAAAGTTCTGAAACTGCTTTGTATCTGCTTTGTACTGTTGGTGCCTTCTTGGTATTGTACCCCAAAACTCTGCATAGATTATTTAGTATAATGGTAAGTTTTTAAAAAATGTCAAAGGAAGATTTTATTAAGAATCTGAATGTTGATTCATTATATTGTTACGATTTAACATTTATTTGTGGTATTTGTGATTTGGTTAATCTGTATAAAAATTGTAAGTAGAAAGGTTTATATTTCATCTTAATTCTTTTGATGTTGTAAGCGTACTTTTTAAAAGATGGATTATTTGAATGTTTATGGCACCTGACTTATAAAAAACAAAACTGCAAAAAAATCCTTAGAATCATTAAATCATGTCCCTGTGTTACCAAAATAACATAGTACTGTGCATGTATAGTTTAACTGCGATTTCACATGTGAAAGCATGAAATCGTCTAATCCTTTATTATTACAATGTTTCTCAAATAAGTGTGTCTTCCTCCTTTGACTTTGCTGTGGTAGTGATGGGACCGTAAGCCAGTCCCTCTGGGACCCAGTGGGGTTTTCCTTGTGATTCTTCAGACCTTGGATAGATGGGGATAAAGGCATTGCCTGTGCCCTCTCTCTAGTCCCACTGAACTTCAGCAGCCAAGGTACTAGGGCAGACATCACAGTCAGCCCCTTTTCCAGACCTAGAAGTCATGGCTGTATTGCTGAGTCTTAGACATTTGGTTCTGGTCAGTATCGGGCACTAGGCAGTGACCTATTTCAAGACAGAGGTACTGGGAAATGTTTTTGCTGTGATATTACAGGACAAACACAGGCTTCGGGCCCCTGACACTGGCTTCACCGCCTGTCCCTTCGGTTAACACAGTGTGGACACCTGCTGCAGACCCCAAGTGGACATAGCAGGAGGCAGTGGTCCAACTCCCCCACCATCCAGATTCTTGAAGGTGGAGAGCATCTTGAAACGAGGGCCAGAGCAGGGTCTGGAGAGCAGCAAGTCGTCACAGAGCTGTGCGGGGAACTGAGTATAAGACGTGTTGCGCTTGTGGATAATGATGTAGGTAATTAGCATCTAGGAGGGAGAAAAAGAAGAGACCCTGGCCAGTTTCAGTTGCAAAGTACCCAGTGGAAGAAATCAGTCATGTGGATTTTGTCCCTGTTTACTAATCTGCTCGCAGATCAGTTGAACTCATAACTGAATTCCTGCTGCAGACCTGCAGAACCAGCAGCTGGGCTGCATCAAAGATCATCACCGTCTTCAGAAAAATCCCTGAAGTTGCAGGTCTCTGCAGACAAGGGAGATGTTTTCATTCATACAAAGGGAAGAAGACCTGTGTCTGGTAGCTTTGTGGTAATACTTATGTAGCAGTCCACAAGTGTGCATTGAAATGATTGATTATTGTAACAGGAATGTGAGAACAGGTGCGTCATTTAAGAACATTCAGAAGGACCCTCTGGACCCCCATCAGTCCCTTCACCTGAGCTCTGAGAGCTACCACAGAGCTGTGGTCACAGATGGAAAAAGAGGCAGGACCCTTCCTTGATCCAAGACATCTGTAATTGCTGGTGCCTGGGGAAAATTCTTTGTTTGCTTTTCTCCCTTCATTATCCGTTCCCTGACTTCCTGTTTCCAAAGTTGAGCAACCTAAAGGAGTTTCTTATGTATTTTTGCATCCACCCATAAGCCCAGAGATGCTGTCTCCTCAACCGACAGGATTTCTACCATCAGCAGTTTGGATGGAACTGCGGCTGTGATGTCCCGGGCCGGGCTAAGGACAGGAGGCCCAGCAGTGTCAGGTTGGTGACAGAGCAGTCATGTGGTAGACACGTAGACTCGGAAAGAAGTGTCAACGTGGAATCACCACGTACAGGCCAGCTGCCACGGTGTATACTTACAGGCAGCCCTTGAGGCTGAGGCAGAGAGACTGCGTGAGCCCAGGAGTCTGAAGCTCCATCTGAGAATAAATAGGTGAGGGAAGCCCTGATGGAATGGAAGTTGGGGAGGGTTGCTTTTAAATGTGGGGCCAGAAGAAGTGAGGGAGCCAACAGCCCCTTGTCTTTGGTGTAGTAAGACCAGAAGGTAGCAGACTGGTTGTCCGCTCTGTGTGTGGTGGGTGGCAGCTACCTGTTGGACCCGTTGCCTATCTGAGTAGTGGCAAATGAGGCCGTGGAAGGTAGGGATGGCCTGTGTCCAGCCTGGAGTCCTTGGGCCAGGACCATAGCTTTCAAGCCCTGGACGCAGCTCCAGAGAAAGGTTTGCAGCAGATTGGTGATGCAGGCACACGTGAGCTGTCCGTGTTCCTCAGTTGGGGTCTTCTCCAGGTTCTTGTATCCTAAACAAAGAATTGAGGCCTGGGGATTTAGCTCAGTGGTTCTGCCACCTACTTCTCAAGCACAAGGTCCCAAGTTTGATTCCCACTACCACCAAAAAAAAAAAAAATGCTGGGCATGGTGATGCATGTCTGTAATCCCAGCACTGGGGAGGCTGAGGCAGGAGGATCGCTTTGAGTTCGAGACCAGCCTGGGCTACGTAGTGAGTTCCAGGTCAGTCTCTACATAGTGAGACCCTGTCTCAAAAATCAAAAACCACAAAATAAATTGAGCAGGACACCCAAGAGTGGCAGCAAGTGATTTGTTTTGTTTTTTTAGTGATTTATCTGAAAAAGAAAAGATGATCCACTTCCATGGAGGAAGTGAGCCAGTGAGAAGTGGCTCACAGCACCGAGGGGGCTCCGTGTTCAGAGTTTTCTGAGTTTGGGTGGGATTGAGGAGTCAGTCTGAGGTATGACTGACTCCTGCTCGTGGAGATACACCAGATAGCACCAGATAG